TGACCTTCCCTCATCGTCCACATCCTGCAGCTACCGAGGCTAACACTGAGTGTTAGATTAGGATCGTCTGCGCGTCTTTACTCTTCCTTTAAACCAGGACTGATCCAGTCATACTGCCCTAATTACCTAGTAGATAGAGGGGACTGACCTTCCCTCGTCGTCTACATCCTGCATTTACCGAGGCTGACATTGAATGTTAGATTAGGGTTGTCTGCGCATCTATTCCTTTCCAAAAAACCAAGACTGACCCAGTCATACCTAAGTACCTAGTGGCTAAAGGGAACTGATCTTCCCTCGTCGTCCACGTCCTACAGTTACCGAGGCTAACACTGACAAGTGAGTGTAAGATTAGGGTCGTCTGTGCGTCTCTCTCCTACCCTAAGTAAATCCGACTGACAATGAGTCGACATACTCAGTCACCCGTCGGGCCCCTGGCACGGTTCGACCTCGTAACATGTTACATAGATGTATACATTATACTTTGCTTTGAGAATGTTTATAAAAAAATTATTTGGGATACCTGAGGATTCTTAATCTTGCCTTATTCTAAGGAAAGTTAGACAAACAGTAGAGAGTAATATCTGAGTTAAAAAATTGTTATATAAACATGTGCATACATATATTATATTGTGCTCTGATAATATTTATAAAAGATCTACTTAGAATACCTGATTAATAAAAATCGAATTTCCATGATATCCCAGTTTGCTGACTCTCAATCTGACTGTAATTGTACACTCTTCGTGGAACAGAAATACTACGTTAAATGTGTTGGAAAACTTGCTGTAACACGTGCAGTATCAAAACTGGAGCAAGATCGCGTCATACATAATCTTGACAGCTAGTACGCGTTGGCTTATCGCCGGTAGACCGCATGAATATCGGCGATTTCCGTTCCTACGAAAGCCGCAAGGTTGATTACTCCGATAGTTTCGAAAGAGTTGCCGCGTTCCGGTAGTTTTTCTTGCCTTTTCAGATAAGCCCCGATACGCCGCATATCATAGGATTTCATGCATAACTGCGACTAATAATTTATACTAAATGTCTACTAAAAACTGCTCAAACTGTTCGATTCAGATGGGTCAACTAACGATAAGTGTAAATGCAATTATCCGATTCTAAATTACGTAAGGAGTAACGAGAGAATTGCAGACGCTTAAGGAAAATCGTCAGATAAACAAGTAATATTGACACTATTTTATCTTCTTTTGTCGATAGCGATACTTTAACTATTTGTTTAAAAAAATTAATACAAAGTGTTATTACAAATAAAATGATAAGCAACAGAACTTGCGGATGTTGTGGTCGTAAGTCAAACTAATGTCATATCATTGAAATTCTGTTATTTAACATTTATTATTAAGGGTTTATAGGTATTAAAAGGTTTACTAATAGTTCATTTAATGTTGTACTGGGTATAAAATCTCCGTTGAACATAGTGCATTCTCTTAGTTTATTATATAACTACTCCAGTTAAAAAGTGTTTTTTATTTGAAATACGATAGCCTAATTATTGAAGTTGTTTAGTTCTTATTTTGTCCTGTGCTTTGAGAAATTTTATTATATCTGATTTTCAACTGTTTCAGAGCTTTGCACGTGTCAATTGTGAATTTATAACGATATTT